TTGAATATATTGAGTTGTGCAGCTTACATTAACGACGATTTCGAAAAAATTTTCGGAATCGAGACAGTATTCAACCAGCAGCATAAAGATTTTCGGGATAGTTCAATCCACTGAGATAGAAACGATTTAGAGATTTTGATTCAGTGGTTTAAAAATCATCTTCCTTTCAGTCCACAAGAAATTACAAGAACGTTCTTAAGAAGAACGAAATTGAGAACGAAATTGCGAGAACGTGCCCGCAAGAACGAAATTGAAGAACAAATTTATTGAGAACGTTCTCGAAGAACGAATGCATTGAGAATGTTCTTGGCGTGTGGGACGGGACAAAATGGAAGTAAATCTCATTAGATTTAGCAGCGTCGCATTTATGCGATTCCCATAGCCTGCACGGAGAAAATAAAATAGTAAATATTACTATCCATGGTAAACATTACCATGTCTATGGTAATACTTACTATGTCCGGATTTTGACATAGTAATATTTACAATTTTATTTTCTCTGTGTGACGCGGGGTATAAAATTCATCATTCATGAATGAGGGGACATCGGGTGTTTCGTTGATTAGTGATTTTGTCATTTAGCGTGAAGAAACCAATGGTCGGACGGGACGACGTCATTATATGGGGAAATGACTAATCCGAGAAGTGGTGCCCTAACACTTTCATGAAAATCTTTTCTTTTTTATTGAAATAAAGGAAAAAAGGGGTGCACGGTTATTCGATTATATGTTCTTCTTTATGTAAGGAAAAAATGTATGCATGAAACATCATGAAGTTTTCATTCTGTGATAACATTTTTTTTTTATTTAACAGAAGGAATTAAGCAATTTTGAATTCTATACGATTGATTCTACGGCAAGTCGTATCGAGTAGACAAAACAATTTTCATTAAAAAATATTAAAAATTAAAGGACTAGTCAAGTTTTTAAGAGTCGAAAAAATCGGACAATGACGATTCTCGATTTAAAAAAAATGGAAAAAGAAATTATGTAGATTTTCATCACAGGAGACTCACCCAAAAATCAAATTGCAATAAAAATGGAAAAGTCCTTTGGAAGATGTCCAACTCCATACGTTGGTCCCTCTTAGGAGAATGAGATTATATGATTTGAGATAATATGTGGGGAGGGGATGAATTTTGAATTCTCCATTCACGTTATAATTTACTATTGTGATGAATACATGCATCCAATTTTTTTTTCTTCTATCCTTTCGCGAATCTTCATTCTTCTTTCATTTTCGATTCGTAAGAACCTAACTAGTCCCTCAATTTTAAATATTTCTCAGTGAAAATTTCTTCGTGTATCTGATATGACCTTTCGCAGAATCAAGCGTATGTAATGTAAAACGACTTAATTCCTTCTCTTAAAAAAAAAATAATGTTACCGGAAAATAAAAATTTTCTGATGTTTCATGCTGACATTCTTTTCTTTCATAAAGCTAAAATCGAAAAAAATTGCCGAAATTCGTAATCAAATACTCCGGTACTGGAAAAAAGTCGTGCAACCCCACTTAAAAATAAAAAATGATCTGGAAAAATTATTGCTCCGTATAGGCTGAGAAAATGGCTCAAAAGGCCATTATTATCGTTATTTATAGCCCCTAGAGCGAATAGAAGTTTAATTCTTCATCACTTTTGTTTTTTGAGGATATCTCCGAAACAATAGCGGATAGAACTCTATCTTAATCTAACGCCATTGGATAGAAGAAATAGCGGGATTTTTTGTAGATCTTATCCTGCCCTACAAGAAAGGTCCTTTTCGAGAAATCACAATTTTGTTTCAATCCTGAGATATTTTTAAAGAAGTAATTGAGTACTGAATCTGGAGATGATTTTCTGATGAATATCTTTGAATTTACGGTAGATGAAAAAATGTTTATAGAAGCTTTTTTGTGGATCTTATTTTGTTCTACAAAAAAAATTTTACGAAAATTTCTGTATTTTCTGTAGATTTTGAGATATTTTTGAAAAACCATTTTTTCTCAGGGAACAAAATTTATTTTTCTCTGCATTTCAACGCTGGATTGATGAGAGTACCAAAATTGAAAATATGTTTTGTTTACGAAATTTTCTGCGCTTTCCGGTGAAAGAAAAACAAATGCCAAGTTTGGGGAACGACCAGAAATGGCCGTTTGAAACTTTCTTTTGAAGTTTTCTATGTCAAAATGTTTGGACACATAAAAGACAATTTTTTTTCCAAAAAATTTAGAAAATTTTCGACAAAATCTATGGGTTCAATTTTTTAATTATCCACATGGATAATAGTAATTAAGCAATCGAAAAAAAAACAGAATGAAGAAAAAAAACTTCTTCCATATCTCCGCCGATAATTGAACTAGAGACGTCCGGTTGCCCTCTTTTTCCTTCATTTCGACTATCCTTCTCGATCGGAAATATGGAAAGAACTTTGAAAATTTAAATGAAATTTTTTGTACACAGATAGCGGATTCAGTCTCATAGAAGACATTTTAGAAAGAAAATGTCAATAAATTCTGAAAACTACAGCGTCCCGTGGGCTGTTGCCGAATTTCGTTCCATTTCGTTCCGAACCGTTCTCTTGGGAACGTTCTTCAATATTGTTCCATTTTGTTGTTTCGTAGAGGAACGTTCTTCATATTTTTGTTCTTCAATTTCGTTCTTGCACGAACGTTCTCATAATTTCGTTCTTCAATTTCGTTCTTTCGAGAACGTTCTCAATAATTTTGTTCCTCAATTTCGTTCTTGCAGGAACGTTCTCACAATTTCGTTCTTGATTTCGTTCTTCTTGAGAATGTTCTTTTTTGGTTTCGTTCTTCGATCCAAGAACGAAAACGAACGAAGAACGCGTTCTCAAACCCTGGCTGAAAGGTAAGTGAGCAAAAACGATTTGTAAAAACTTGAGAAAATATTGCTTTAAAATTTCAAATTTCCACTGTGCTTTATTTTACGTTGCATCGAATCAAAAATACGAAGAGAAAAGTATCTCAACTATCTTGGTATTTCTCATTGAACGGTAGTTCTAGGAGCATTGATTGTAGGTAACATTTGATGTGTTTAATATATATATTATCAGTTGAAAAAAAAATCAGCTGAAAGTTTAGATGAACAATCATGATTGTTGAATAACAGCTGGTTTAGCAAAGTATACGTCGTGTTTCCACAGGGGAATCAGATTTTCTTATCGTTCAAAAAATTTGTTTTCATCAGTAACATTAAAAATATACTATAGATTCTTCTTTCAATCCAGTGATGAATGAATAAAAATTCGTTTGCGTAAAGTATACTCACATGCATTAGAATAAGGGTAGAAGGGTTGGAAAAGAAAGATAGGAAGCAATGTGGATAGATTTTGAAACGATTAGGGTAATAAAAATATGTAATAGTCGATAATTTTGCCACTCGAGCCCGTTATTCTCACAAAAAAGAGAAAATTCATTTGAAAACTCCGAGCGTCTCTGACTCGCGTATCGCGTCGTATCGTACTATCTCTGTCGCTCCTATTGCCATGAGACCAAGGGAAAAATCGAAATTGTTTTGATAATTGCATGAGAAATTACCCTATTTTCTTAATTCTTGATAATGCAACACTTTATTAACCAATGTATAGAAAAGAATTTTTTTATTGTCATAAAAAATATTTTTTTTAGACAAAAATAGAAAATACGTCAGTTTTCATATATTACTTGGTGAAAAATGACGTGAAAAATCGAAAAAAATTCTCAGAGCACGACAATCACATAAATTCTTGAATGAAAAAAAAAGTTGAAATATCGATTTTTTGTTGAGTTACAGCCATTTGTTTAAAACGAAGCGCGTGGTGCTGCGCCCGCCTTGACAAATAAATGTTAATATCTCAAAAACTATTAGTGATAGAGACATGAGTCAAAATGCATTCTGTTCGTCTCAAAATTATCTAAATCTTTGCCGCTGCATGTCTCGATCACTTGTCAATAGTTTCCGAGATATTTTAATCCAAAGTGACCGCTCCAAGGGGCATTTTGTTAATAAACAAAAACCACACCTTGGGACTTGATCACATTTGATCTACGCGTTATTCTGAACATTTAAAAAAAATCATCGAAATCGGTAACTTATAAAGAAAAATCGAAAACAATAGTACATTACGTAACTAGTGCGGAAAGCAGGCGGTTACTCACTCGGGCGGCGCAGCACGTGTTGCGTATACTATTTTATATGATAAGTGCGTGATGAAGTTCGGGGGTTGGGGGGGGGGCGAGTGTGGGGGGCGAAGCCCCCCACGGGAAAAGGGGTCCAGGGGGCGAAAGCCTAAAGGTGGCTAGGCGCTGTTGGGAGGCGAATTTGGAGGAAGAATTTCCGTAGTTCCCGGTAGCTTAGTTAGGAGAGTGCCCGGCACGTAACTGGGAGACCCGGGTTCGAATCCCGGTTGGGCGGTGTGGAATTTTTTCTCTCTCAATTCTAATTTTCTTTGAATTTGACAACTGTGCGTTAAATCGCGATGTTAACATCATTGTGAATAATCAAATTTAAGGTGAAATTAAACTTTAGACTTGTCTCAAGAAGGGGAGACGAAGAAAACCACAATCGTATGGGTCGTTTTCAAATGAAGTCGATCTTCGCGAGAAATCCCGAAGTTTCAGACTTCGCATTAAATCACGATGTTAACGTTATTGTAAGTAAGCAAATTTAAGTTGAAATTATAATTTTTTTCAATTTCAATATCAACTTATATACGACTACGAAGAATGATGTTAACATCGCGATTTAACGCGAAGTGTGAAACTTCGCGATTTCTCCCGAAGATCGTCGCCATTTGAAACGCACCATATGATTAGGGTTTCCTCCGTCTCCCTCCTTGATGCAAGTCTAAATTTCAGTATCAACTTATTTACGACTACCCACAATGATGTTAACATCATTGACGGATACAAAGTGTATTGAAAAAATAGACTAAAAGCATTGTTTGACGAATTTTCATTAGACCAGAAATAATTGAACGAACTAACTTTGGACGAAAAGTTTCGGACCATTTTTTACGCACCTCCAGTAAGAAGAGAAGTGAGCAAAGGTCTCGAATAATACATACTAGCCCCACACATTATATACGGCACGGAAAGTTTATAATACCATTTCGATAAGTCGTGAAATTTCAGGTACAATCTTTTTTCCTCGTGATTTCCATACATATTTCCAGAGAAATCCTCTTTCATTGCTTCTAACAGTGTACATAACGTCTTACTATGCCGAAAGACAATGAGTTTCGTGAATACCATTGACTGCATAGTTGATTCAAGGACACTGATCACCAGAGAATTAAAATTACCGAAAAGCGTGAAAAGTTCGGTATACTCCATTATCAGATGTAGACCTAGATACCCCGTCCAAACACTAGCACGTATGTATGTCTTTTCCATCGGCCAAAGTCCTCCAATAGTCAAAAAATATTTTTGCCACGTCAATAAATTTCCGATCGCCTTGAAATCCTCATCTATTTTTTCATTTTCCTTTATGTCAACATTCTGTAGAGACATTTCCAGATGATTGCGAGAGTGAACTTTGTAGATTTTGAAAATTAGTTGAACGATTTAGTCAACGATTCCACTTTTGCGGTTGGAGTCGATGATTCAGAATATATTTTACTGGTTAACATAATAAAAAATCCCTCATCACTTCCGCAATAGTAAACCAACGAAGTACATAATGCCAAAATGCATGTGAGACTTCTGACACCTTCTCCTTCCCCCACCATCGAACCATGCATGCAGCAGAGAATTATTCTATATAATATTCCGTAATATTCGCGTATTATGATAATTTTCGGAATAGTGTTATTACACGCTTTTTTTTATCACTCATGAATAATGAATTATGAACGATCAATATTGACGAGCGGACTTGCTATGATTTCTCGACACCTAACGTGTGAAACACTCCCCCGATGCCAAAACCCAAGAAGTTCTCCCTGTTACTAATTTCGAAATGCCCGCGGAAATCAGGGATATCAACGAAAATAAACTGATAGATGAAGATTTCATAGCCGCTGGAAATTTATTAACATGGCTGAAATGGTTTTGCACAATTGGAGGACTCTGGCCGCTCGAAAAAACATACATTCGTGCTGGTGTTTGGACAGTGTATCTAACATTGCATTTGGTGATGGAGTATGTCGAGCTTTTTGCAGCTTTCGGAAATTTTAACGCCACGGTGTTCAGTGTGGTTGAAGTGAGCATGCAAACGATGGTGTATGCTAAGCTGATTGTCTTCCGGCATAGTGCAATGCTACGAAGGCTGATAGATGCAACGAAGGATGAGTTAGCCGAGAATCTATATGAAAACTATGAGGAGAAAAAGTTGTATCTGAAGTACAATTCTCTGTCGAAATTGTATTACAAAGTTTCGGTTCCATATGTCATGACTGCAGCATGTGTGTATTATCTGAGACCTGTCGTCACTTCCCTGCTCATCGGCAGTGAGTATGCAAAAGTGATTCCAATGGATTTTTTAAAAGAGAGAGAGAGAGAGAGAGAGAGAGAGAGAGAGAGAGAGAGAGAGAGAGAGAGAGACTGATCTCCTTCGCGTTAAGACTAATCTGACCTGTGTTGGAAAGACGAACGCGAATTTGAAAAGTTTTTATAAGTGATGCTTTTTTTTGAACCGTGCTCTTAAGGGGTAACAGAATGCCGCTAATTTTCCACATTTTTGAACCAATTTCCGGTTGAAAGATATCGACATTTTTACAAATCAAAGCACATCAATCTTCAGGAAGCGATGATGAAGATCAATGTACTTTGGGTTCCAAAAATATTAATAACTTTAAACAGGAAATTTTTTTGAAAATTTCGAGGACACGGTGGCCTTCTGTTACCCCTTAAGGAATTTCTGCAGTAAGTATATGGGAGTAGAAGGAAATGGACTACAGAGCTGAAATTTTGAGAATATATTCTTTGAGTGATTAAAAATATCCTCCCGAAGTCTCAAAACACTGAACCACGTAGATTCTTGAGGAGAAAATATGAAAAATGTGTTATTAACACAAAGTCTTATACCACCACTTTTTCAAAAATCCCAAAAAAATAATCGACAATGGACTAAGAATCCAAACGTTTCACGAATAGAACCGTATGTATATCAGGAACATATTCCGACAATTTCATCAGCCGTCACCACAGGGATTATTTGTAATTATTGAAAATGTATAGCATAGTTTGGGATTTTAGTTACGTTAGAGTAAACTGATGGCTTAACATGGCAACGTTGAGGAAGTTAGAGGGCGCGCCCCGTGAACTCAGCGAAAGCATATACTATAGATTCTATAGTACAGTATAGGATGTTATGTTCTGTCGATGTTACTAGGACTACAGTGGCGCCTTTTAAAATATTGAGCGCCAAACTTGAAGAGTAGATACGTTAGCCGCTAAACCTCTAATGAGGACTCCATCGAAGTTGACTCGTTCGTGACGGAATAATTGGGTTGAAGGTTTATTTTTGAAATAAATCCATTAGACCAGTGCTTAGCAGAGCACATTAACACTTTATTTATTAAACTTGTTGAACTCGAAAAACTTTAAACTGTGAACTACACACTCAATAAACTTATGAAAGCTCTAAGTAAACTTTAATGAAAACTAATTGAAGAGAGAAGCTAGAAAAGTTGTCGGAACAACAGCCACGATGGGACTAACTAAAACTTAAACTTAACTTTTAGGGTTGGGTCCAACAACCCCCACTAGCCCACAAGTTGCGCACGCATACCTGGCCCAGGGGAAACGGAAAAGTGAAACCCACGGGAAAACGGGGGAAAAGGGAAGCGTGTGACGTCGCAAGTTTTTCCTTCATAGGGTTTTAGGCCCTCTCAGCGATACAATGAGCAGAGGAGAGCCTACACGTGTCGAACACATGCTACACAGGAACGTTCGAAATAAACAGAATTGAGATTTTACGACTTGGGACCGTGACCGTTAATTTTACTTTCCTCTCTATGTTTTGGATTTTTCAAGGTAAAGCCTTTTCCGTAACGAGTTTTGGAGGGCAATAAATTTAGATTTAAACTCAAGTATTTGACATTTACAATTTTCTGTAACGGTTTTTCTCACGATTGTAGAGTTATTTTCTTCCTTTGTTCATTGTCCTTTCTTTTCCGTACTTCTCAGCATACTACGTTTTAAAAATATCACTTTAAAAATAATTCATGTCATTAGGCCCGATAAACCGCAATTCTAACCTCGCTCCGCTCGGTTAGATCGCGGTTTTCAGGCCCAACGACATAAAATAGCGTATATCACATGGCGATAAAAGCATTATCTGACGAATCTGATTATAATCCGAGCCGAAGGCGAGGCCACATTCGCCAGATAATAATTTTATCGCCCAATGACATACTATTCCGAATATACTATTCCGAACCATAATTTGAATCTCGCGGATTTTTATGGCCGATTAATAGTGCCATCTACGAAATTCAACGTCGGGATGTTACGTCCCAATCGTTTCAACGATGTAACTAGTGGGACACTAGCGCCAATTCAAAAATTAAGCGCCAGGTTTGAGCGTGAACGTTGGCCGCCAAAGCTCTGATGAGCACTCCATCGAGATTCAATTTAATAGTTGACAGGATTATTTATGTGGAGCAGGTTGATAGACGAAATAACGTGGACACTGATGATTTAGGGAGCACTGAACACACTTTATTTGAATAAAGTCAAGACTTTAAACGATCAAAGAATAAACTCAATAAAACACTTGTGGACTTAACAAATTGAAGAGAGAAGCAGCAAGCAGAAGGCTTGTGTAGGAACTGAACTATCCTAAACTAAAACTTCCAAGGGTTGGGTCCAACAACCCCCACTAATCTAAGAGTTGCGCACGCAAACTAGGCCCTGAGGAAAGGGAAAAGAGAAAACGGAGAAGCGGAAAAGGAGAAAAGGGGAGTATTTTGCGTCGCAGGTTTTCCTCTTGGAGGGACTCTAGGCCCTCAACCAGGGGAACACAATGAACAAAAGGCACCACACGTGTTGCGCACGTGAGGCCGTAAAACTGTTGATACAAACAGAACTCGAGATCGTGACGAGTGAGGACCGTAACTGTCCAATAAATTCGACCCTAAATTTGACACCTAGAAAAAGTGTTTACTTCACGAGAATTTGGAGAGCTATAAAATATTCTAACAAATCGCAGACCCAAACACTCGAGTCTAAAATTCCATCAACAGTTTATTCTCGCTTAAAAGTTATTGCTTTCCCTTGTTCATTGTACTATTCTCCCTCAATTCTCAACTCCGGATTACGTCTAATAATTTGAATTATTAAAACCTGATTGGAATTTCGCGGACTTAATCAAACGATCTATAGCGCCATCTCTAGAGTCAATGTCGGGACATCACAGGGACGTTACAAGGATTTTATCGGGACACAAGAATACCAACTGCGTCGAACAAAAATGTGTGGTTGTCAAATCTCTCATGACAATTTTTATTTGTTAAAAAAATTCGGATAAATAATATTTTTTAATAAAAATCATTTGGAATTGATTAATCATGAATAATAAGTGTAAAGAAACCTAAACGACGAACTTTCAATACACCCGTGAACTCTTCGTCATTTCATTATTTTTTTTTTTCAATGGATGCAGCGGAGTGTCGGAACCTTTGATATTTTCTCCCACACCATAGCCCCAAAATTTACTGCGGAAGTTCCTTAAATGAAAGAATTTATGCTTGGATCGATCGTTCCTCTTCCGTTGATCGTGGAGAGCATCATCAAGACTCCTCTTCTTCGAAATTAAATCAAAAACTTTGTTTCATATAATATCTTAAAACCAATATCCAAATAGCTTTGTTTTCAAATGAGTCATCCAAATCTAATGATTATCCTCCTTTCAGATTTTGGAACCAATGACTCCATGGTACTTCCCTTTCACATAACATTACCATACACCATCGTAGATACACGCGTGTATTGGATGACATACGCCTATCTGTCACCCATGATATATTTATTGGCCTGTCATAATGGCTGGATATGCGTTCTCATCACCGTTCAACTTCACATCTGTGGGCAGTTGACGATCGTGGAGCATAGGATAAGGAACATCGTGCATGTGACTGATCACGATGCCAGCCATGCAATTTTTAAATCTTTGGTTGACCGACATACCAAGTCAATTTGGTACGTGAGTACAAAATTCATCCACTTGTGGAGTCGCTCGAGTGGGTATTTTGCTGGTCTAAATCAGTTTTACAAGACCTTCCTGCTAAAAACTTCATTATATTTTATTGCTTTAATCCTGCTAACTCCAAAAACCCAAGGAATCATTTTATTATCCTTTTCTTCCAAACTCCCTCAGAAACGTTTAATTGTCTCGTCGGTACTTTTACTCTCTCGGGTCCCTAATCCAGTACTTTCTCAATACCTCTTCTTCTTCTTCTTCTTCTTCCTTAAGGGGAAACGATACCCTCTCAATTTACTGATGAATTTTCGAAGGGTCTTTTGGCAGTCAAATAATTGACGAAGATCTTTGAGATTCTGTACATTTGATATTGGAAGGATTATCTATGTTCTGAATAATATTCATATTTATATGAGGAGTAAAAAATTACAGATTGAATTGCTACCGGAAACTGTTCCATCCTATCGTAAAAAAGGAGAAAGGAAATCGATCTCGAAATATCTCGAAAATCTCGAATAAGCTTAAGCGTAAGACCGAATGAAACCGAAGCGCCACTACGTGAGGATATGAGGAGGCGCGTGCGCAGCACGCGCGGCCTATAATGAAAAAAGCCAAATTTCTTGTCTATCATGGGACGAATTTCAAAATACAGATGTCAGGACCAAGGATTTATATTGTACAATCCAAGGAAAGTTCAAGAGTTAAAATTCTCCGAATAACTTGGACGTACGGGCCATTTGAAAATTGAATGATAAATAATTAGGAAGATAAAGTGAAGACTCTGCAAATATAAATTTCTAGGAATCCGCTAGATGGGTCTTGTCTACCCCCACTCCTCACATTTTCCGTAAACGCACGGCGTCCCCACTCTGGCGTCCAACATAATTTTTACTAGAATTATTCACTTAGAATATCGGGATCCAATGTGGCAGAGTGAATACCGATCCTATACTGATCAGTCAACTCGAAAACAAATTATGATTGCAATTCACCCTGCCACATTGGACCCAAATACTCTATTCGGAATCTAACACAGAGAAAAAAATACTAGAAAAATTACTGTGCTTGCACGGTGAAATGGGTTCATTTGGACAGACCCGGCAAAATTACCGTGCCAGCACCGGAATTTTTGCTGCGCGCTACCGGATTTTTCTCGGATTTACCGCGAAAAATTCTTGTACTCCACAGCAAACATAGAAAACACATAGAAAACCCTAAACGTAAAATATATTTTGCTAACTGTAATTTACGATGTGCTAAAGTCAATGTATGCTTAACGCCAATATGATGTCAAAAAGGCGTATTTTACAGTCAAAATAAAAATGTAAATTTCGCCCAAACAATGCGTTATGTTTCACTGAGCGGATTTCCGCTTAAAAAATCGAAAATTACAATCTTAATAGAAACGCACTTTACGATTTACTTATGCGTAATTTACGAAAAAACATTGTATTGTACGTAAAAGATGACTTCTTGCGCGTAATTTATGTTTAGGCTTTTCTGTGTGTAGTATTGCATCTAAAACAGATTCAGATCGAGGCAAATTAAACGAAATTTCCACTCGGGGTATACTTAACACTGAAGCGTACGTATGTACCATTGTAAGAGAGATTATTTCGCCGAATATTCGTCATCCTCGTGTCAAAAGGGCGTAAAAGCAATACTCATATAAACTAATTACGTCCTTTTGACTCTACGATGAAGAAGAGATGAATAATCAAGAACTTTTCAGCTTCGATCAACTAATCTCCCATCCTGCCAGGTAATAAAATATAACCGATAATCATACTCACTGAAATATACGCATGAGTATTTTTTTAATAAAAAAAACAACGTCTTGATTTTCAGGGTCATATCACTAATTGTCAGGAATCTATCCCCGACTACACTCTAAAAAAAGATTACTTCTGATAAGTAGGAAAACTACTTGTATTCAGTACCGAGGGGTTTCTGGAGAAAAGGTAATTTTTTTACTTGGTTCAAGTCGAAAATCGACTGAATACAAGTTTTATGCTCCAAGTACAATTGGTACTGGTGACAAGTACCAACTGTACTCATCATCAGTACTAAAAGTACGTGTACTGAGTACCGAGCTGTACTTCTCAAAAGTAGAAAAAATACTCGAGACAAGTAGTAATAGCACTCAAATCCAGTACTAATGGATTTTCGCGGAATATTACAGTAAAATTTATCATACACTAGAGATCGCTGAAAAACGAAGAATTAATGCAAATAAAATTATTGTTTATTGTTCATTTGCCCCTCAAACGCTTGAAAATTGAAATGTAGTCCAATGTAATAAATTCTCGAGCTACAGAGATTTTTTTTTCAAAATTTTTCAAAAGATGTGTAGAATAACAATTACCAATTAATTTTTCCAAATTTAATTTCCAAATAGTCCTTTTTTTAATAACAACAAATGTAATATGCATGCGAAATAGCCAGTAAAATGATCCTCAAAATAATTGTTATATTTTATATTGAAAAAAAAATTGAAGTATTAATCTTTTGAGCTATCTTGTATAAAAATTGCAATTTCGTTATGCGACAAAGAATAAAATTGCCTATTTAGAAGTTGAATTCAAAAAAATTATCTCGTAATTGTTATTCTACACATCTGTTTAAAAATTTTGAAGAAAAAATACGTCCGTAGGTCAAAAATTGAGTACACTGTGCTATTTTTCTTCATTTTCAAGGTCTTGGGGGCAAATCAACAAGAAATAATCGTTTTTTTCCCCACTTATTCTTCGTCTTTCAACATATATAAATAATCGATCATCAATGTGTAATAAATCTTACTGCAATATCTCGCGATTTTGAAACTCATCGTAACCTCCCCTTGATGAAATTTGTTAATTGTCATCTGAGAATGATAATGAGAATGATAATTAATGATATGACATTCCTCAACAAAATAACCAACCAAAAGTACTGGAATCAACCCAGCAAACAGTATGTCGACAATTTGTCGACAAATTGCCGATTTCCTGTTAAATTTTAGATGGCACTGGCAAAAATTGTTTTCTGGTAAGTCATAAAAGTACTCGCGAGAAGTAGAACAATTACTTGCTCCAAGCATCAAAGGTACTTGTGAGAAGTAAGAAAAATAGTGACAGGAAGTAATAAAAGTACTTCCTCCTAGTACTTTTCCTACTTGCTTAGCAAATATTGTACTTCACCCTAGGACATGAAAAGTACTTGGGACAAGTAGTTTCCCAACTTTTCACAAGAAAACTTCTCCCAAGTAGAATTCAGTACTAGTGAGTAGTAACTTTTTTTTAAAGTGTATTAAGGATTCACGATTGTTAAAAAATTTAAACCAGGGCGAAATCTTAAAATTTTAGTGATTTGTGAACTAGTTTTAGCGATGACGTCACTAGTTTCCAGTAACATTGTTACTAATTTTCAGGAAAATAATTTTACGATTCTATCACCAAATTTCAATGATAAAAATCACTGATGATCATAATTATCCTAGTCCATGTCCAGTATCATCAATAATTGGTGATAAATTTCCATAAATCTGTGATGTTCCTCAAAAATTAAAGCTGTTTTTCTCTGTGTTCTCACCCCAGATGCTTATGTCTTTCATCACAAGGGCTTCTTTCATCATCCTCTTCTTGTAACCTTCTTCTTCTTCTTTCACTCCTTTTTAACCCTCCAGTGGTTGCGCTATGGTCTGAACGCCGCCGGTTTTATTTTCACGATATCTCTAGAAATGTGATGAATTACGCTGTCTATTTACGAGTTCCTTAAATGATATGTCCTGATGAGATTCAACACGGTAGGGTTGCCCTGCACTGACAATTTTTTTTTTTCAATTAATTTTTTTGTCGAGCGCGGTTAGCGAGAATGAGCGCAGGGCTCACCGTGCGACCACTGTCGTAGTGGAAATTTGACGAGCGGTATTGCCGACCCTCGTGGTAATCCCAAGCATCGTGTACAGAGTGGGGGGTCGCTGACCGGTGATATGTTTATAGTGTCGTATGGCTCTGGCAACGCTGCACTCGAGAATGTACGGACGGGGCAGCGCTTACCACGTGACCAACGACGTTTGGCGACGACGTCTACAGGAGGATTAAGGGGAAACGGAACCCCTGCGTTTATATGAATCTTTAGAATTGTGTTTTCTCCTGCAATTATTATTTTTTATTCATTAAACTACTTCATTGACTCAACAATGCGATAATCGAGTCGATAAAGTAATTTTATAGTTAGAAATTAATAGTTGTAGGAGAAAACACAATTCTAATATTTGACGTAGACAAAGGGGTTCCGTCTTCTCTTAACTAAACAGCGAAACCTTATAGATGCAGGTTTCTCATTCTGACCACGGATCTCCATCAATATTAAATTTCTGTAATATTACAAGGATTTGACCCGTACATTATTGAAAGTTTAAAATATGTTGATTCAATTTTTCAAATAATATAGTGTTAATAATTTGATTTTTTACGAATAATGATATATTTAAAATTTGTCAATATGAAACTGTAAATTTACTACTAAGTGAATAGTTCAAATTTCTTGAAAGGGGATTTTTAATTACACAAGTAATCATCAATCTTCCTACCTCAAATTATTGGTTGATAAAATAGTAGCGTAGCTCGATAATATTTTGGCCCAAACAACGAAAATCTCTAGATCCCCGATAGCTAACTATCCCCGATATTCAAACTCCTAACACATGTCAGAAAAATATTACCCGAAAAAAATCATACCTAACCGTCAATATATTCGAAACGTGAAACAATCACCGAAAGATAGCTAATACGAAATTCTGCTTGTCAAAAATTATATACAATAAACGCTCTGGGTCTTTGTCTGACTCACGCTTAATCCGACGTTCTCGATGGTCTCTGGATCGCCTAAGGAATCCCCAGAATTCCTTACATTCTAAGCAGATAAATTCACCTCACGGGATTTTTTCTACGTATCAAGAGCACATTCCTGATTTCCTTCACCAACTTCACGGTTGTTTGAAAACTCGGTGATTCTTTAAACATTACTACAGGTTTTCGAAGTTCCAAACCCCTCCCTTTCAAGTAAAGAAAGAAGACAGATAAAAAATGTACTAGTATTAACGTATACTTACTTCATCGAACAAGTTGATAGAAATCAAAAGTTTCATCACGAAATTCAAAAATGGGATGTACATATGTTTCTACGTACGAACATGACATTTTCCAAGCTGATTTCTCTCATTAACAGGATGGCTAAAAGCTTCGATGACAGTTTTCATTTCATCCTCCTAGTGGACCTCATTGTAATGACCCTCCTATTAGGATTAACGTCTTACGTTATCATAATCGTAAGTATTTATATTCCATACTAAACCCCGAATAGTGAAATTGCGTGAAGTTTAATTCTTTCTATAATAATTTCCCTATTCACACATTTCTCATAACATATGGATAGATAAATGGTACAAAATATGGAGAAAATCAGTCATTTTCGAGACTAATCTTTGGGTCATGACGTCACAAAAACGGTCAGGCAACGCCTCATTGGTCTAGTGTGTAGAAAGTGGGGAGGAGCCGTCTTCCATTGGCAGAGCGCACGTCAGGATTGGGTTAGATTGACTCGAACCATTCTGTTATTCGTCCTGCGCTCGACCGTCTATGTGACGTCATTAGCGATTCCAAAGCGTTTGAAATCTTCAAATCTTAAAAATTAATTATTAATTGATCCCTCACGTACGGAGTCGATGCATGGTATCGACCCATGCTTGTTTTCAAAATTTATTATTTCCAAATCTTTGAAGAATAACTTGATCAGACAAATAAAATTGGAAGCAGGAAAACAATAACTTCAATTAGATATCTGTTTCATAATTTTCCATTCATTAGAAATAATCGAATTCGAGTCGTACTGAGCACACACTACGCTTGGTAACAGAGGGCCCCGTCCGTGAGGGGTTAATTAGCAATATTTCGAACGTTTGTGAATGAAAAATTACGTATTCAGGTCCCAAACTTGAGATTCAAAATAATGAAAAAAATTCATGCAATTTCACTATTATCAAAAGCAATATTTTCAAGGGGCAAGGAGTGTCGGAAAGTTCGACCGGTCCTGTATTCGGAATCGCCGGAACTGCAACTCTCCTTCTGATCTACGGCTACTGTATCGTAGGAGAATCTCTCATTTCCGAGGTGTGTACCCACTTTTGATTATTAAAATCCAAGTGTTTATGAATTCATCAAAACATATACAGAGCAGCAAAGTACATGCCGCGTACTACGAATGCATGTGGTACGAATCATCAGCCGACTTCAAGAAAGCTGTCATGATTTGCATGCTGTCGTCGCAAGAACCACTTCGCATGACAGCTGGAAAATTTTTCGTTTTCTCGTTAACGAGTTTTACAGATGTGAGTTCAATAATAACGACAATATACAGATTTCATATATAAATCATTTTAATTCATTTCCTGCCGACAGATCCTCAAAACTGCAATGGGATACGTCTCCCTGCTGAGGAAAGTTTCACAATGAACCTACAATTACAATTACTCACATATATTTGTCAATTCTGTCGTCCAAATTGTTCTTTCACTCAAACTATTTTCTATAAACACAATATTTTTACAATCACCTTGTTCTATTCATCGCTAATTGATAAGTTGGAAGCAGACAAATGCTGATAATGGTTTCGACCAGAATTGTCCGAAGTACTGGATGACATGCTATTGTACAATAAAAGTAGAAACCCCACCGGTGCTTTCCAGAAAGCTAGAGAAGTCTTGCGTGTCTTCTCAGTTGAAATATCAGCGATTCGGAGGAATCGATTATCCAAATTACCTAGGGTAGATTTTTATAATTGCGGGCAATTAGAAGCATTATGTCATTACTGAAGTTCTCATGAATTTTTAAGACTGGCAGATCAAGCTCGTAGTCTGATCCTCCAGTCTGATAATCGTTGGTGCCATAAACTTTTGGTTGGACTGAGGATAATGGTAGTAAGTGAATTTATCCGATGACCAGACGTCAAACCACAATAATTTTTTTCCCTCAACTCTTATGATAATATCTCGTGCCTTTGCTTCGTAATAAACCTTCCAGGACGATGAACTTAAAGAAGCGAAACAATTGTTCGCGTGGAATCGAATGGTCTTCGTAATTATTGGATTATGGCCATTAGAACCAACGATTTGTTTTTTCCACACGTGGCTTGTGTATTTTGCATTCCATCTCTTCATGGGTTTTGCAGACTTGGTGCTGGTATTTGGCAGTCTCGAAGAGGTTGTTGCAAATGTCTCGGAAACGGCTTTGGAGAGTATGATAATAGTAAAGATGGTTGTACTCAAGTATTCTGGTACTCTCCGAGAAGCTGTGGTGATGGCAAGGGATGGAATCATGGAGGAGAATTTTTCAGAAACCAAAGAGAAAGAAATTTATATGTTTTATAATGCAATCGCCAAGAAGTTCTTCAGGTGGGCGGTCGCTTTCGCATTTATTTCAGCTATATTATATCATTTGAAACCTATGGAAACTCGACTGAAGGCTGGTAATGTACAATGATGAATGATGACGTGAAATAACATTTTCTCTAATTATTTCATCACTTACACTGAGAAAACAAGTGTTTTTTGAGAAGTACTTATTTACTTGTATCAAGAAATTCGTGGCTTGAAAATTACCAAGCGCACAATATCTCACACTACGAAAAAAAAATCGTACGCCAAGAAATTTTATACTTGTCCGAAAGATGAGGACAATTTTTTCATATCAAGAAAACGAGTTTGCAAGTCAATTAAAGTGGGTTTTCCATTAAAATATTTTACAATTGAGGCTAAAAAACTATTAAATGAATTAATTCAATTTTACTTAGTTTAAGAAATGGCTTTCTTGTCATCAAGAACTTGTCCTCGTATTTAGGACAAGTACAGAATTACTTGACGAAAGTTTTTATTTTCTTAGTGCAAGATATTTTACTCTTGAAAATTTTCAAGTCAGAAGTTTCTTGATATAAGTAAAGTATTTCTCAAAAACCTTTGTTTTTGTCAGTGTAGCATTGGCTAATGACACAGTACCTTTGTTACTACCGTATCGATCTCATCTGACTTTCGAGCTGACGGACATGACGACCTACATTTTGATTTATGCGTATCAATCCCCGATGATTTACGTTCACACGTTTCACACTGCAGCTGTTTGCTTCCTCATTACTCTAGTACTTAACGCCTGTGGTCATCTAGCTATTCTAGCGAGAAGGATACGGAGGATTGAACCAAATAGTTCCGGTAATTCGGAGCTTCAACTAGGGAATTCCGTCCGGCGCTATCTGGAAATAGTCAGGTGTGTAAATCAATTTATATTAACTTATCTCAATCAATTTATCTACTCTTTTGTGATTGTGTGTTCCTAGATTTTCCAAATTGATCGATAAAAGTTTCTGGATCATACTTCTCGAAGAATTAGTCACAACTACAGTTTGTCTGGGGTTAGCATCTTATAATGTGCTGGTGGTAATGAACTATGATTTTTAGCACTGATGGAAACAAACACGCAGACGAACGAATGTTACGTCTGTCTTGTTGTGTCTGTTTACACAAAAAAACTTTCTGAATTAAGTCGAGGGATCCGACTTGATATGAGTAGGACTGAATCATGTTAAGAATCGATCTCATTAAAAAATGTGCAAACTACCATAGCAACTGTTATGTCAGAAGACGTATCACGTTTTTCCATCATAAATGATCGAAATGAACCCGGCTGTGTGGCGTACTTGGTAGCAGCATGAGATTCACAACCTCAAGCTCCCAGGTTCGAGCCCCGGCCGGGCCAAAATTCCACACCAATTTTTCATCACAATTTTCCACATAATATTCAACTGAAAATTCAACACAATTTTCAAACCGAATATTCCACGGAATTTTCAACTGAAAAATCCACTCCACATTCAACATTCCCTGGCTGAAGGCCCTCAGGCGATGGCCGCGTTGGCAAGTTAACCCTTGCAACGAAAAACCGGTGAAATTTGAAATTTTTTTGATGGAAATGACATATTTAAAATAGAAAGATAATGAAATACAGTGGAACCTCCATAACTGCACGCCTCCCGGGGTTTGGGTTCTCGAAATTAGCACTTATGAAAGGATCCCAGGGGGGTCAAGCTCAGATGGGGAAAGTTAGACGATGTTTCGCAAGAACCGACCACTTGACGCGTTGTCATCAGTAGAATTAATGGTGGAGGGGGTTGGAAAACGATCGGTAACATGAACTTCGAATGTTCAACCGACGGGGGTCAATGAAATAGGAATTAGATTATGAGTTTAATCATTATGAGACGACTTTTCGCTAGTAGGTAGGGTTTATCAAGCAGTATTTGTCCTCTTATATGAGGCCATCCTTTTTGATCACTTAATTTTTCTCATATTTAGTAGATGATAGGGCCTATGCGAACTTCAGTAATTTTACAAATTGAAATAAAACTCAGAATTCTTGTCGATGACCCAACGTTGCGGCTCCAGGGAAGCCCTCAGCAGGGGTTCTTTAATCCTCAAAAATCACTATACAATAAAATTACAAATGAATCATTTCAAATTAATTTATTCATCATTTGGAAAACGGTCATTTCGCACAAAGTGGTGGCAGGACTATTTAACAATATGCAAATTCAACACAATACATCAACTCAACACCCAGCCCGTTGAACACAAATTTTTTTATCACAGAGTCAATTCAACACATTGTTAAGTCAACATATAGTTTCTATTACACATAGTTTCTATTTACTATACGAATTTTGTAGTGATTAATCTACATATGAATTTTTTATGACGAAGTAAATAAACTCATTGATTATGTATTGAGTGAATGTATTGTTGAATTCATATTGTGAGAAATTTGTTCTGTGTTGAATTGCCTATGTGTTGAGTTGGTTTTGTGTTGAATTATTGCGTGTTGAGTTAGGCTTGTGTTGAGTTGTAGCGTGTTTAATTTGTGTTGAATTTGTTTTGTATTAGTCACGGAACCGCACAAAGTATGTTTTCCATGTTAATGCAATACACATTTATTTTTCTTCCTTTTTTCCTTGATATTCTACGTGCTTCAGTTTTTATGTGAATTCATAAGATTTCAAACCCTATAGTCGCGGATTTGACTGGGGATGACTCCAACCATGCATCACGTAATATACATTACCAGGGTCATACCTCATGAGCATCAAACGCCGCCAGGGTCATGCCTCACGAGGGTCAAACCTTATAATGGTCATACCTCACGAGGGTTAAACGTCACCAATATCATACCTCGCGATGGTCAAACGTCATCAGAATCATACCTCATAAGGGTCAAACGTCACCGAAGTCACACCTTATGAGGGTAAAACTTCACCAGGGTAAACAGCTCACGAGAGTCAAACATCACTAGAGTCAAATCTGACGAGGATCAAACGTCACCAGGGTCAAACTTCACGAGAGTCAAACGTCACCAGAGTAAAATCTTACAAGGGTCAAACGTCACCAGAGTCAATTCGAGAGTCAACATGAGAGACATAAGAGGATGGTCAAATTCCATGAGAATCAAACGTCACGAGGGTCACAAGGGGACGATCAAGTTTCATGAGAGTAGAACGACATGAAGGTTATAATGGGATTGTCAAATTTCACAAAAGTCAACCGTCATGAGGGTCATAGGGGATGGTAAATTTTTCAATTTTTCAGGGCCCCAAATGATTCCGTGGAAATTCAATAAGCTCAATAATTAGCACAATTATCCCTCTCACAATTAAGAGCCTGAAATTGTTCCATGTGACTTTTAAGGATCGTCTAAGCATCGTGTTCCCTTGTGACCCTTGAGAAATTTGCTCATCCCCTTGTGACGTTGGACCTTCGGTGAACTGGCCCTTGTGGTATTCAACCATCGTGAAATTTCATTACTCTCTTCTGACTCTCGTGACGTTTGAACCCCTTCAAAATTTGACGTTCCAATTGTGAGCCTTAAAGCGTTTGGTCCTCGTAAAATTTGACCATCCTCTAGTGACCCTCGTGACCCTCGTAACGTTCGACCCTCGTGAAAGTTGACCATCCCCTTGTGACCCCTGCAAAGCACGACCCTTGTGAGGTATGATCATTATGATGTTTGACCCCGTGAGGTGTGACTCTGCTGACATTTGACCCTCGTAAGGCATGACTCTCGTGAGGTAATGCCACAGATAATCGAATTCTTAATCGTTCTGCATCCGTTATTGGAACTTGAAAGAAACGATTTGCCCTTGCTGTGTACCCTCGTACAATGCATACATACGTCACGGAGTCTATGATCCCAGAATATATCTGATAACAGAAGAAACCGTAGATTCTGTAGATTCTGGGGAACCTAGATTGGCCCGTCAATTGATTACTGAATTATAATTAGTACAGAACGCCAATACTATTGCTGTTTGGATCTGTAATGGATTCTTCGCCTGATTAACACTGACAATATTAGTATTATATTGTTCACGTACCGTGTGTGATTAGTGCACGCCTGATGGATACTTCTCCTTGGATTTGTATCATTGAGTATGCAATTTATTTATTTATTTATTTTTTACTCCTACTGAGTGTTTTTCTCAAAGTTGATGACAGGTGAATATTTCAAAATACAAGTATCCTGTCACTTCCTATCCCCATTGAAATCCCCGCCACCGCCCAACAGCGCCCCAAATGGTCGATTCCGGCAAAAGCCTGTCTAACACTTTAACTAGAGATGGAAAATGACCGTCATTTTTTAGATAGCGTCATATGACCAAAAAATGACGGTCTTGTGACAGTCATGTGACGCACAAATTTTCCAACTACAAATGATTATCACAAATCATTTGTATCCAAATTGTTGTCAAACCATCTATATGTATAGTTGCCTAATGACGGTCATAACTAATTTCCAATTGGTGATGGTCATGAATAAAACAAAATAGTTTCATCTATATGGATGGAAAAAAAACGTGATTTCCATTTTAAAATGCGGATTAGGCCAATACAAAAGGAATTCAACTGAAAATTGATCGAGAAAAAAATTAAGTTTCATCTATATAGATGAAAAATGACTGTCATTTTTTCTTGACAGATCATGTCAATTGATTAATGATTGTTGACGGTCACATGACCGTCATATGACGGCTCATGTGACGCATTTGCATCTCTAACTTTAACACGGGAGCTCGACCCCCCAGGCAGGAGCCGAAGTTGGACGGACGTCCACTCGCCTAGCCAAAAATCTTGCGTAAACACTTCTGCACGCGATACCGAACCTAATTAGTTATCAATTGATTTTATAATATTGATTCTATTCAACTAATATATTTCAATTATAATTAAAGGGTATTCGATTATTAAATAAAACCCCTTCGGAATCCTATCTCAACATGGTCTAGAATTTGGGTGAACTCCCCGTTCGGGTCACCCTAAACGAGAAGAAAAATAATAAAGGACCCTAGTGATCTCCCACGTCACAGGTGTTTGAAAGGATTGGGGAATAAAATACGGAACCACGAAATTGGATTACGTCACGGAAAATTACCAAATCAAATCTAAACTACTTGCACCATTACTTTTTTTCTTTAGGTGATCTGCATCTAAATCTGTATCTGAAGAATCGAAGCAGAGGCAACCTGCTATTGATTATAATAGATTGTCATACTATCACATTTCGCATTTCAGAATGCTGACCTTGCTGATACAACGACGTTCATGACATTCGTTATGTACGTTTTCACAATGTTACTTTTAATATACGGATACTGTTTCGCTGGTGAATACTTAATTACCGAGGTATGTTATTGAATAAGAGCAAAATGAACCATCTTAGAGAAGCGAAATCATAAGAAGTATCCGCTGCATTCTAATCCAGCCAATTATGAATGAAAAAAGTTTTTCTAATACCAGTGTGCCGAAGTTTAAAGATAATATAGATAGCATCGTTCTTTCATTCAATTTATATGAGAATTTCCACAGGAAATCTAACACAATTGTTTAAAGAAGAAATATAAGTGAATTTAACAACATAATATAAAACGATAAATCGTATACAATAGCGGATAATGATGTGCAAAATGACTATTCGGGAGCATATTGTTAATTTATTAGCAATAATAACTACGCTCTATAAAGACAAAAGCAATTTCCCATTTGTTTTCTCCATGACTCAATGAAATTCGGCGGAATTTAACCCTAGTTTGGTTACCATATGAGAACTTGCAACTTGGTCACCTCCGCAGGGAATCGTCGGGGTGTTATTTAGGTCCGAGTGCTGTCGAATTCACTCTATACTGTCCGGGCGCGTTTAGCGAGACTTCGGTAACGTCGCACAACGGGCAATTTCATTTAACATGGGAAAAAATTGCCCGTGTGTAAGAAATAATTTTTTTTTCTTCAGGAATTGTGGATATAAATAATTTTTGAAAATAGTATAATTTTCTACACACTTGAATTGACGCATTCTACTTTTGAGGATTTTTCCGCTCAGCCAGTCAATGGTAAGAAAAAAAAAATCGACCTTCTGCGGCGTTTCCCTCCTATGGTGACCAAACTAGGGTCAAAAAAGAGTCGTTTTCGCCCAATCGTTATAAATTTTGGATCATTAATTGCTTTTATGTCTGATGATTGCTTTTCCATACAGAGTATGAATGTGCATGAAGCTTATTATCATTGTGACTGGCCTGACCTACCATCGAGTTACCGGAAGTCGCTAACCCTATGCTTAATCGGGACGGAGAAACCTCTAAGGTTGAGGGCTGGCGGATTTTACACATTCTCAATGGCAGGCTTCACAGGCGTATGTACTCATTTAGTTTCAGTACGAGAAAATGATTTTCAGAAAAATCATCTGAGATTAATCTTGGTTTTTCCCGTTCCAGATCATGAAAACAGCGATGGCTTATGTATCCATGCTGCGAACTCTTGTATTGTAGATCCATGTTATACCGTTTCTATTCTCATATGAAATCTACAATTTGATGTTTGGTGTAGAATAAACTGGTTTTTTCCTCCCCCATGAATTTTCTTGAAGTAGCAGAATGCCTTCACCAAATTCAAATGTTTCACATGAATCCGTACAAGAATAAGTGGACATTCACAGATATATCAAATATATTTGATAGCTGGCAAAAAACATAAGAACTAAATTTAACGCTCTTGATTATTTTTTACAGCTGTTCACGTGTTTGTTTAAGTTCTGGAATTTCTCATGCGCAAAGTCAAAAATATAGCTTAACTTATAACAAGGAAAATGTTTATTCATCTGCACGTAATTATTGATAATTGCTGAACATCATGTACAGCATCCAGAGATCACCATCAATATTGAATTTCTGTAATATTACAAGAATTTGACCCTTACATAAATGAAGGTTTAAAATATGTTGATCTAATTTTTCAAACAGTATAATATTAATCATCTGATCTTTTTCCGAATAATGATGAATTAAAATTTGTGAATATGGAACTGGAAATTTACCACTAAGTGATTAATTCAAATTTCTTATAAGCAGGCGATTTTCGATTACAGTAATAATCGTCAATCCTCCTACCTCAAATTATTGATTGATAAAATAGTGAAAAATTTGAATATTTGAATTGATGATACTTAAGTACTCAAAAAATTTAAGAGTAATGTTAACTAATTGATGGCTACAATATTTACCAGCAATTAAATATTATGAATTTGGCTATCCCTGATAGCATCTCAAATAGACGGAATGAACCGCAATATTACCAGAAATGTCCTCTGACAAGGCGGTAGTTTAGAGTGGATTATTTTTTACACGACTAGATTAGTCCGCGCGCGTATATCCTACGCCATGGGGCTTAATGTATGTCAATTGTAGTGAATAATCTTATATTAGATTTCTGAAGTTAATACCAAAGTTTCCGAAGGAAAAGTTTCAGGAATGTATTCTATTTTTTTTATATATAATACATCCAGTGTGTATTTTTTTGAAGCCAATCCATTCCGCGAATTGTGTCATTAGATTTTTTATAAATGATGATAGCATACATTAAAGATACTACGATAATACTATACTATATTATATATACTATGTATAATATACAATATATAATGGAGTACTATATGTATTATAAAATATAATGTGCATAATAAAAGAAAAGAAATAATAAACAGATAATAATAATATGCATAATGTATTATAATATAGTATAGTATAGATTATAATATAATTAAGTATGATCGTAATATCTTTAATGTATACTATCATCATTTATGAAAAATCGAATAACACAATACGCCGAAAGATTGGCCTCAAAAAACGTTACACTGGATGTTTTATTAAAGGATTGAATAACGTGGAATGCTAATGAAATCATAGAACGTGAAGATCACCCACACAATAGTAGTTTTTGTCACTGAGGCCCGAAAAGTGGCGCTTACGGGGACTGTGTTGAGAGGGGGTAAATGGCGTTTAGCATACCGGGTCTGTAAAACGCAGGGGGGTGACACTCTGCCTCGCAGGCGGACTTGGCCTCATGCCACCATAGTGAACACATGTAGTGCGCGTTTTCTGCCCCGTTCTCTTCTGAATTTTGTTAGTCCCTAGCATGCAAAAGTAGTCACTTTCACAAAACTTAGCTTCTATTAGCTCTGTGTGTCGTGATTTCCAGCTTGAAAGACGCTGAAAAACTTTTCCGTTAAAAAAAATTTCGTGTGAACCAAGTTGCACGCCTACCATAACCTCTGCATCGCAACACCCCGGCGCAGCCGAGCCACGTGCCGGCCTGCACATATCTCCACGCTCTCACATCAACATCAAGATGAATAACGACGATCAAAATCTGCTAAACAACTCGCCCAATGGGCAAAATTCACTCCAACCAGCAGATATCAATCACAATCACAGCAATAAAGAAAATGAAGCAACAAGAAAAACAATCTCTACACCTCTCATATCCCACAACAATCCCTACCTACCCCAAGGTCCCCCATCCCCTTTTTTATCATCCCTGGAGTTCAATTCAAATCTCTTACCGAGCCAAGACGAGACCAGTACCCTTCTGTATGCTGCCAGACGTTCAGAGTACCTAGAGCATAACCTCTCCAACCAAATACCATACTCCCATCTAACCAACCCTTCTTTCAACACTCTAAAAAACTTCGATAACCCATCTCCAGTTAGTTCAATTACCTCCCCTCTAACTAACCTTGTTGATGAGTACCTCATGACAATTGACCCACAAACCCAAAATAAAAACGTGTTTGGCAAAAGAACTCTTCGAGACGCCGAAGATGATACTGACCCAGATCTCTCAACCACTAAGCCCAAAAAAGTCCAGCATAAATCCCCCCCAGCTCCCCCAATTCAGAATCATGATCCTCATCCCTCTCACACCGCATCAGCAAACTCCACCCCTCTAGACTCCCAAACACACAACACAACCAAAAACAACTCCGAGCCAACCCCTCGTCCTCGACCTACCATCCCTGATAATCTTCGAGCCAATCGATTCCCTCACCATTCCAACAACAGAACATATGAAGTTCTCTTTCAGTCTGATTACTCAGTACCTGATGCCAAACACCTCCATGGCATTCACCTAGCTAAAACAATCTATAAAATCTTGAAAGAGGGCAACCTCGGTGATACCTTCGGAGAAACCAGGAAAATTGGTCACTCAATTTTANCAGGGTCCCTTCCCCACACAATTCACCTCTCCCTCTACCCTCTACCCCCCCTAATATTCCCACATCCCACCTCACTCACACCCCTTTTCACATCCACACGACCCACAAACCCCTCAATAAAACACATCCTCCTCAACATCGGTCCCCACCGGACCACGGACACCTATTAATTTCACCCAACGGCGCAAATTATACCAACTTGACCCCCCCACAAGACATTGGAAAATCACCTCATTTATCCAATATCCCACACCCCTACCCCAACACCGCCCCATCATACCTCCCCCAAAGCATTCTCCCTATAATGAGTCAGATTAAGATGTTCCTAGACATCTTCCTATCAAAACTTAGCTCGCTGGTAGAGTGTTTTGGACTTTCTGATCACCTAAACCAAATCTCCAACTCCTTTAACTCGATTCAACAGTCCCTCCTCATTCAACCCACCCACCCAAGCATCACATCACCTATGCTTAACCCCCCATCATCTCAACTAAATCCTCACTCTCCTATCTCAGCTAACACCCCGACTCCCTCACCAACCTCCCAAAATGGATAACTCAAACAATCCACACCCCGACACCTCACAACTTCGCCTGCTCCAATGGAACTGTCGCAGCCTTAGACCCAAAATAGAGCTCCGAAACATTTCACACAAATACGACCTTATCCTTCTATCCAAAACTTGGCTCAAGCCAGAACATCAACCAATCTCCCTTCCGGGCTTCAACCTAATCAGAAAGGACTCTACAG